TGACCCAGCATAGCCTCTACCCTACTTTTTAACCCCTTTCATCATCCTACTCCCATTACAACTCACCCTAAGTTTTGGTTGACTGGGAGTCAAGGACTAGGTTTTAATCCTATTCCTATCTTTAACAGCAACTACACATACTGGAAAAATCATTCCATTTTCCTAGTCTGTTTTCCTGTCTGAAAAATGCAGGAATGATGCTCAGTATATGTACCTTTAACTCTAAAAGTTTATATTCCTTTGTACAACTCACAGAATAAATCAGAGAAAACAAGCTTGTGATGTTCTTTACTCAACAACATCAGTAAGAGGAAATTCTGAGAAAAGATGGATTAGCTGGAAGGTTTGTGTTTCTATTGGACAATTATTTTTAAGAGATACTTTGATCCAGGAAACATATTCCAAATGAATTTATTATATATTTTCAGGACAATGGTATGTACTGCATTTAGTGCTGTAATTGGTATATAAGGGAGTCTTTGGTCTGCCCATTCTTCCTTTTACTTTTGGGTCTCCCTCAGTGAAAATGCAAAGGGAAATGTGTGTGTTAGAGGAGAAAACTATTGAGTACAGTTAATGGCTGTCAGCATTAAAGCCAAGTATTTACAAGTGAAAAGAATGAGGTCCATGTCATCGGTAATGGGATTTAAATGGATTTAGGAACTAAGGCTGAAACAGGAGCCTAATTAGAGAAGATTCCAGGGTCGTCATGTTAGTCCTCACCTGTCCATCAGGCAGACAGACTGTCCACAGCTTTTACTTCAAAGACATGGCCTGTTCTTCTCATCAGTGTCTCTTTCTTTCCAATTCTGGAGGGAAAAGGATGACTTGGCTGCCCCTTGCAGCTTGATGTCTGAAACATGGGTAGAGATTTAGCTTCTAAAAAAGACCATTGAAAACTCAGAATATATTTCTTCATGATGGCTGGGAAGAAGAAATCATATTGGATATATTGCTTTTGCAAGGCTTATCTTGATTTTAATTTTCCTTCTAAAAAATAAGGAGTAAAGACAAAGATAGGGAATAAAATGACTTCCCATTTGTGGGAGATCTACACTTAGAATGGGTCCTTTGTACCTATCTTTGAGATCTGAGCTATTGAACATTTGCTAAGGTGGACTTCTTTCCCCCTTCTTTTCTAGTTCACTTTGGGGTCTTCTACATGAAAACTTCATGTCTTTAACTGACTTTAGTCTCTTATGTGGAGTCTGTTAGCCATGGAAATTCAGGACCTAGAGAGGGGGTATTTGGAGCTACACGAAGGGCAGTGAGGCTGAGGTAGTGCTCAGCTGATCTCCTGGGTGTGGGGTTGCCACTACATGTGGCAGAACTGGTGTTTGTACAACTTGGTGAGCTGGGACATTAAAGAGCATAGAGAGCTCTGTGGCTTATTCTGTCCTCTTCTCTTTGCTTCTTTCTATCTTGAGGGTACCTGGTGAGGGCTCTTGCTGGATGCGGAGAGTCCAGACACAATAGGAAGGAGCATGGACCAGAAATGGCCCTTGTGTGACAGAGTCTACTGCTGTGTGAAAATGTTGTCCCATGGAAGAAGAGTTTTGTGTTCCTTCCTTTTAGACTCCAATATTTCTCATCATTTAGATCCTTCTTTGACTTCAGGCTTCAGTGCTCAGAGATAATTCCATTGACTTTAGCTTTAATTAAAAATAAAGAAGTCATTAGGAAAGCAGATTTCTCCTTCCAATTCCTAGTTAACTTACAGGCAGATTTGTTGTTTGCTAATGATCTAGCCACACTTTATTTCAGAGTTTGGCTAAATGTTAGCTCAAGGTTTTTGTAAAAATGATCCCTGTTTTAAAATTATCATTATGGGATTTTTTTTCTTCTATAACAATAGACTGGACTCCTTGGAATTTATTTCATAAAACCCTAAGTTTGCGCTATCAAGAGTCAAATCTTAAGCAATTTCAGAGCATCAGAAGCAAGTGTCTTTTGATTCTTCCCATCTAAATTTACTTATTATCTTTTTTTGTGTGTAACAAAATAAAAATAACAGAAAAAGACCCAGTGGATTGATATGTGAGCATATGTAGTTCTGGTTCTTAACCCCCTGTATTCCTAGTTTATCATAATTCATTTATGCATTTTTAATAAGTGTTACCTTGATATTGATGGAAAGGTGGTAGGCCTGCTTGCTCACTCTTACCTTTCTTATTAGTCAGTTCAGGTGCTACAGTGGAAATCATTTTGGGGTCACCCTGGGATTAAGAGCCCAGGAAACCACAACCCAACCAGATTTTAATCCGCACTTTCAATAGTAACCGTGCATATCTATGAAGTAGTTTATGGGGAGAGGAAGCAGATGACTGGTAAAAGGGAAGAGGAGGAGTGAAAAAAAAAAAAAAGAAAGGATAAAGAAGAAAAAGAAAGCAGCCAATTGCCACCTGTCCATAGAAGACCCCAAGCATGCTCCTCAAATAGCCAGCCACTTCCCAGGTGGATAAGAAGCCCGAGGTTGCTCTGATGGAACCCAGCTTCCTGCTAACTCAGAAGTTTTCAGATTCTCAAATGGTAGAATTAATTCTTCTGTCAAACTAAATGTTATATGGATGCCCAAGATATAAAAACAAACACCCTTTTATTATTATAAATTTACCATAGAAATTAACATTTATAACATTTTCTTTAGTATAAAATGAATTGGCCAAGAACTACATTATTAAACAAGCACAAAAATGTGAAATTCAAGGATATGGGTGATACTTCTCTCCACCATGTTTAACTTTGGTGCTTTGTTCTAAATGCATAGGATCAAGGAAGTCTCGTTTTACATTATAAGCAAATAGTAAATAATTTGTAAAACTTCTAGGACTATGCAAACATAATTTTCAATAGCCTTAATATCATGGAAGAGGAGAAATTGATAAATTTGGGTTTGAAGGCTGATTACTAATAATAGTTACAAACATAGGTACTCTGGTACAAAGTGAGACAAAGTCATCTCATACTGAAATATTTACGGTGGATGCCCACGCTCTGTGTAAGGTGGGAGAGTCTCAGGGTCAGAGCGTGATGAGTGCTCTGCGCTGAGACCCAGGATGTCTGTGACATTGAACTGACCTTTGCACACTTGAGTTTGGTAGCCTGCTGGCTTTAGGTGTATGCCTACCTAAATTTTAAAGAAAACAGAACAATGGCTTTTCTAATGGATGACATCTACACATTCAAACACGTGTAGAAATGGAAGGAGACATGGAACTCTGGGGTCAGCACATACTGACTTAACTCAGCAACACAAGTCAGCACAGTGTAGGGCTGCTATGTTCCTCTGCTACAGGCAGGTTCTGATTTTAATTACAGTTAATTGTGTAATTGTCTGAATCAAACATTATGAGGTTGCGAAACACTTCCTTGGAATTCAAGTGTCCACAGCTTTAGCCTGGACCTGAGTCCCATTCTCACCTCATCAAATCACCTGGGTGCTGAAGAATTGTTCTGGTGATAGCAAGACGGTCTATATTTTTTGAAATTTTGGTCACTTTATTTCATTGTGGTGTCCTCTACCTCTTGTGACATATTTATACTTTTCATTAGATTATTCTTAGTTCATTCTCAGCATAAAACTCCTAACACTTAAATTTGGTTTTCAAGATCTTTCTCTGCCTTTCAAAGCTATTAATCCAAACACTGCACCCTAATAGAACTTCTCTTTTCACCACTTGCTTTTGGTTTCTCTTCTTCTAAAATGCCTCTTCCTTATATCTCTTTGTGTCTAGGTCTTCATGATCTTAGACGTGAGCATCATTTTTGGTCCTGCAATGTCTATACACTGTGTGCGTGTATGTATAAAAAACACAGAACCGTGAATAAATCATATACATGAATATTTAATGACATGGAAATATTGTGCTCATTATATTAAATGGAAAAGCGAATTGAAAAATATGGTTCTCTTTCTTTTCTGAGGAGAAAAATATGTAGGAAAAAATCCTTAATATTCTACGTCCACAAAAATGTTAGTTTGTGGAACTGGAGATGAGGTTTATTTCCTTATTGACATTTTATGTGTTTGGACAGTAAACATTTTTACTTTTGTAACAAGTCATACATTAATAAAAAGGCATTTCTAAAGTACACAGAGTACCCATCTCACTCTAAAATAAACTTTTAGAATATCTGAACTCCACATTCTTCCAAGTTGCACTCACAATTCCTCATATATCCAGGTATTTTAAAGAACGTTTAATCAGTGTGAGTGGCACCAGGACGGTAATAGTGCAGAAGTTCCACATAGCAGATTTTTGAGGTCTGTTTCTGTGAGCTCATACAGAAGTAAAGTTGGCATTTTTCATGCTAAGATAACTATGACTTTGGAAATCATCAAATCGTCCTTTGCCTGCCACTACGCTCCTTACCTCCAACACTACGCTCCTTACCTCCAAGGACTGGGTACACCTCAGATTTCACTAACGAAAGAGGGATTGAGATTTAATATTTCCCAAAGGGTGACATTTGAAAATATCCTCCTCAATAGGAAAAGAGCGTGCAATTCTGCTGTGTCATAGTTGTGAATAACAGCCACCAAGAAACGTGGCTGTTGTTTCTGGCGAATGTGTTATGCAAAGGGAGTTGCGTCTTGGCCCACTCTTTTCTTTCTGGGGTCCTGGTATCTGGCTCTGTGGCTTTTTTCTCCACATGTTCTCCTGCCAAGAAAAGGGAGTGTGTTTGGTCCTCATTGATAATTTTTTTTTATAAAGTGAATTAGGCAGTTTTCCTTGAAACTTCCTTCCTAATTTGGCATGAAGTAGAATAAAATAGTAGGAATGAAGGAATTTATTTGGAGATACCAAAATAAGAAGGGGAATTGTTTGGTAATGCAGCAGACTGTTCGAGGGCGGAGGAATGGATTGAGGGAAATTATCAAGCATGCATGTTGTTTTTAACTGATACTTGAGACTGGGATGGGCAACAGCTGTGTTGTTGGCTTTTTTGTTTTTTTCTTGTGCCAACTCTCTTAATTTGATTGATTTTCTCTCTGACAGCCCACTGTGCTGATAAATGTGTCCATGGTCGCTGTGTTGCTCCAAACACCTGTCAGTGTGAGCCTGGCTGGGGAGGGACCAACTGCTCCAGTGGTAAGTTTCCACCTGCCCTTGTCTGTCTCGGGATGTTTTGCTGTGTGGGCCCCCTTGTCTGCAGATGACCCTGAACCAAGCGTTCCTTCTTCAGCTCTAGGCAGAGCGTGGTGTGGATCCAAATCCAATCATTTGTACAGTCCTTTCTGAATCTCTTCATATATATACGGAACCGCTGTTAATTGAGTATAAAGAGATGTACTTGGCACAAGGAGATTTCAACAATCTGATACTCAGACTTCTGTGAATATAGATGCATTTTCCAGAGTAGTGTCCGTAATTCAGGTTCCTTACTTAAGCAAGGCAGTTGTGGTAACATAGCTATTGTATTTTTAACGTCTGTGTTTACCTGTTGATGCATCTAGACTACTATCTTGGTGATTAAAATTCGTCACCTATTGGTTTTAGCTCAGAAGTAAAATTGGTATTTTTCATGCTAATATAACTCTTTGTGTCTGAATTCCAAGATGCAAATATTGAACATTTGCTTAGATAATTGAGGGAGAAATATTTGTAATAAATAAAAATTCCTGAGTATTTTGGTACTTATTAAATCAAATCATAGCATGGCATGCAATGTGTCTCCGTTATGTAACATTAATCATTCTAAAATGATGCTGTTTTGGACTGTAAGCAGGCTGCACCCCAAGTTCCGTATTCATTCTTATGAAGATTGAATGATGGAATGTCACACAAGACAGTTGCTTTTCTAAATTTCACAGTTAAAACTTAAATCTTCTGGTTAACGTTTTGCTGCATATGTAATTGCGTCCACTTCCTAGTCTCTTAATGCTTCTTTCTGTGGCTTAAGAAATGTGAAAAGGAATTGAAGCGCAACTAAATTGTAAAGCATGAAACGTTGCAATTTGGAAAAGGAAATAATAGTTTTAAAAAATTAGCAAGTTCTCGTGACGGCATAAATTTGTTTTCATTGGGATCACATAATTTTTTGAAACTGGTCCGAAAGGGCTTTAAGCGAGCTTTATGAATATTTGCTTGCTTATTTACTTTAGAATTGGGAAGATTACGCTTTATCTTGCTAGGACGACTTGTTTCGAACTTGTGATCTCTTGGCTTTCCCTGAAACAGCATCTCCAGGGGAAGCCGTTATGCAGTCTGTGCACAGAGCTCCCTTTTGTTGTACCTTAACCAGGGAGTGTGTGTGTGTGTGTGTGTGTGTCTTTCTGCCCTTGACAGGCTTCTCAATTGCAGTGGATAACTGTCTTGCAGGGTTTTGTTTGGCTTCTATTGGAGATCAGGAGGAGAGTAAGCATTTTGTTCACACGCCACTGAGGCAAAATGTTTGAGATGTGGGATTTGGCTCACGTCCATTTTTCTGGCCGACTGACCTCAAACGCAACGTTGCTTTCATTAACTTTTCCAGCTTAAAAATCAGTGGTGCCTAGACATTTTGAAGAAAAATAACATTATTATCAACTAGAAAGAAAGAGATGAGTGGGTGTATTCTTTGTTTGCAAAATGAGGTTTGTAACTAATTCCAGGGCAAGAAGGCTATGGAAGAATTGTGGTTGTATTCATTCTTTGTCTCCTAAAACCACAGCCCACCTCCAGCGAAGGGATCTGACTGAAGACTGTTTGTGTAAGCAAGACAAAAGCCTACGGGGGTTGCAGGTCTCTAGAACTGACTTGGGCCTTCTAGAAAACAAACTGTTGCTTTATTTTGGAGGTTACTGGCTTTTGAATGAAGCTCTAGAATTCTGAGAACATCTGTTCTTTTAATATTGGAAGATAATATTCAGGCAACTTTTAGTTTATTCTACAGCTCCTGGTTTAGGGATGAACCATGTTTGTTTATAATGAACAAAACATAAATAAACATGAACAGATATCTGAAGTCTTTGAAGATGTTCAGAGAAAAACATTTCCGATACCTTTTTCTTAGGCACACAAAAAATAGTATGCTAAGCTGAACTACTCACTGGGTTTTGCTCCATGAGTTTTGTCTGTGGCAGTTATCCTAGTACCAGGAAATATAAAATTTTATTTACTCTTGGCCAGATAATTCTGGAAATAAAATGTAGGCACTAATAATCTACTATGTCTTAAAATGGCTTAATTTTCAAGAACTCTATTTCTATTTAACCTCCACTCTGACTATCATTATGCATCAATTTGATGATATATGTTAGGCCCATAAAGTGATTGCTTTGATAATTAGGCCAGCTCCTTATATCAGTCAGGGTCCAATCAGGATACAGAAACCACAGATTTTAGATTTACAGAAAAGTTGCCAAGATAATACAGACATCTACCCACACCCAGTTCCCCCATTGTTAACCCCTAAAAGTACTGTTGAATTTGTCAGAGCTGAGAAACTGACATTAGTATGTTACTATTAATTAAATTCCAGGTGTTATGTGGATTTCATCATTTTTTCCTCAGTAATGTCTTCTTTCTGCTCCAGGCTTCAATCCAGGGCACCCCACTGCATTTCACCATCGTATCTCTCCAGCCTCCTCTGAGCTGTGATAGTTTCTTAGACTTTCCTTGTTTTCCATGACTTTGACAGTCTAGAGAGGCCTGGCCAGGTATCTTTTGGAATGTCCTCCAAATTATATTTGTCTATTGTTTTTCTTATGATTAAACTGGGCTTCTGAGCTTTGAAAAGAACACCCCCAAGTTGAGGTGCCCCTCTCATCACATCATATGATAATATTCACATGACATCACTGATGATGTCATCGTTGGCTACCCTCCATCAGTTGGTTGAGGTAGCATTTGCCAGGTTTCTTCCCATTTTTTCCTTTCCCTTATTCTATTGTCTGGAACCAAGTCACCATGTCTAACTTACCCTAAGGAGCAAAGGGCAAGAGTTAAGCTTGCTCCTTGTCTTTGAGGGAGGAATGTCTAATTATGTTATTTGGAATTCGTCTGGAAGGAAGATTGGTTTCTTTTCCTTTTACTTAATCATTTATTTATATCAGTACAGACTCCTGTATATTTATTTGATATTTTGAACTAAAAGCCAATATTACATAATTTATTTTATTGCTCAGATTTTCCATCTTTGGCCTTTGTGTCCTTTTGACATGCCTCCTCTTTTTGATTTTGAGCACATCCTTACTTTCTGGTACTATGAGATACTCCAGGCTCATCTTGTATTTTTCTGCCCTCAGCCATAGAATGAGCCATTTCTGAAAGAAATTTTGGTTCTTTTTACTGAGGAATGATATTTAGGGTGTAACACTATTAACAAGGATGCTGGGTGTGAACACTGTTAATAAGACACAGTCACTTGAAAGGAGAAAGTTTAATCTAAAGACTTCCTAAGACAGGACATTGGGGGTTAGGCGGGATTGGCTAGTAAGAAGTAGACAGATCTCTATAGGAGAAGCAGAATAAAAGCAGCCATTACCTCTAGGGCTGAGATAAGCCCAAAGAGGAAGTCTGTGATCCAGACCTGTTGGAAAGGACACAGCCACAGCTCACTGAATGGAGAGAAGCCATGTGATACTACTCTAGCAGAACTTGCTGGAAATCTGCCTTATAGGATGCTTGAGAAAGCTCTTCATGGGAAAGTATCTCACCAGAAACACTCTACTACAAGAAAAGGGGGAACTTGTTGGCTGATAGATGCTGCTTGTTCATGCTACAGGAACATGGTGCTGGAGAAGACACTTGTGCTGTAGAAATAGGGCTCTGGGAAAGCCTCAGGTGCTAGGAGGGCTTGGTACCAGAGAAGCCATTGGTACAGGGCTTGCACTGCAGGGACTGGGTGCTGCAGGAGACAAGCACACTGCAGGGGTCAGCTGAGTGAGTGCCCGGGAACTAAGATGGGAAATCCTTCCTTCTGCTATGCCTCTCTGAACATGCTTGACCCTCAGCCAGCTGGTAAAGGAAAGATACTTAAAGGGCCCATATACATTTTTGTAGAGCAAGCAATGAAGGATAAATTTAGAATTGAGAGGCAATAAATTGATAACGGTTGCAGGCCATCTTTTTTATTACTCAGCTAGTTAGGCTTCTATCTCAGCCTTAGGAGTAGTGGCTGTTTTTATTCTGCTTCTCCGACATTCTGTAGAGTTCTGTCTGCTTCTTCCTAGCCAATCCCTCATTGCTCCAATGTCCTTTCATAGTATTTAGATTAAACTTAGATGCACCCTTATACACACGTTTACATTTCTATGCATCAACAAAGCAATCCTGTATTCCCACCTAATATAATACAGCAATTTATCTTACAGAATGAAGACTTTCCTGTGAGCAGATGTGAGTCCCAGTAGTCACTGTAGCCATTACTGATTATACGGGTATTAACTTTATTTCAAACTCACTGTTGTACTAACTGTTCTGTTTCCTAGGTACTAGAGCTAACTCCCAACAACTTGTATATAAGATAAAATAAAAATGGGACAAAAGAAAAGAAAATAGCAAATAAAAATAAACACATACATTTAACAAGCAAATAAAAAATATTTACTTCTTTTTTTTGTTGATCATAGGGCTGTAATTGATATTAATAGCTTCCTTCCTTCCTTCCTTCTTTCTTTCCCTGTCCCACATTTCTGCCATCCTCAACTCAAACCTGATAGAGGTTCTTTACCTTATAGAGTGGCTCAGACCTTCATCATTGATAAGTCTGAGTTCCTATATCACCTGCCCTTTTTTGGTTGTTGACATGTCCTGTTGACATTTCCCCTGACATTTACCACTGGTCATGGAAAAGAGACTCCCCAGACTCCCTGGGTCCCCGATGTGATTCTCCCTTTCCCCATGTGTAGCAGCAACCCAGTTTTGCCTTGATAATCGGGATCAATCAGTTCGGCCACAAAAGTAATTCCTTCTACTGACATTAGGAGTCTAAAATAGCCAGATGGCAATAAATTGGTCACTATTACACACAACTATCTTTTTTCCTTCCTAAAATACATGGGAGATTAAGGGACTGATGATTACCTTTAAATGCACAGTTTTACAAAGTGTTGGACTTTGGTCCAAGGTTTGACGGTTTACCTTGGCTGTGGAGAAGAGGGCTCCTA